TATATATAGATATAGATATAGATATATCAGAAAGGCAGAACAGTACCAATTGCTATAGGTAAAATTTTAGGTAATGTTGCAAAGTGTGCTGTCTTCTAGAGTGCTCTGGATTGCTCCACATTAACATGCAGGTAATGGACAGGGTAAAAGGCTGCAGGAAGCTTTTTCAGCCATTTGGTGTGTATGGAAATAATCTACCTTTTCAGTTTAGTTTCATTGCAACAGGTTGGAAAGACCCTGCCTTCTCTGCAGCATTAGTTCCAAAAAAGAAGTATGGAAAAACACAGCCAGATGTTGAAAATCATCTAGAAATTAAGATGAACATCAGCCTAAGTGAATTCTGCAGTTCCCGACTAGATAGTTGTAACTGCAGGAGTGTTGGAGTGAACCTGCAATTTTTTGTAGTATTGATTCTTGATCCTGATGTGTGCTTTGTGTTTTGATTTTCATTTGGGTTGGGCTAGCCTAGCCCGGGCTGTGTACACAGTAGTCGTTTGGCATCGGCAGCTGCTGCACTGGGAACGGCCACTCGGTGTCAGCGTTGGTTGCAAGGACACCAGTCTGTGCTGGAGCACTTGGCACTGGATTCTTGTATCCTTAGTCCTCCTTTTTATTGGGGCAGCGTCATTCCAATAACAGGAATACCGAGTAGCCTGATTCTGCACTGTTTCCTGCAATACAGTCATTCATGAGAGAATACAGACGGTAAAACAAGTCTAATTGTGAAGGCAGAGGAGGTTTAATTTCTCCATTAGCTGTTGGAGAAAGCAAGGATGTTGATTCTTGTTTCTGGTCAGCCTTAGCTTCTCAGTATGTAAAAACCATGTATTTGACATAAATTGTCGTTTCATAACAACTACTTAAAATCTGTTATCAATTAGCACAAAATTAGAAATTTGCTCACATGAGGGTCCTACCCCTTAGCAGCTTAAATCACTCTGGGGCACAGACTTAGAAGGATGGTTGAAAATGTGTAGAGCAGATGCCTCCATTCTGTCTCACCAAGCCTTGCTCAGCTGTGGCAGGAGGGGATGAGAGTTGGTGTAGCTTTTATTTGAAAAGGTGGTACAAGAAACAGATGACTCTGGTGGTAGCTTTGAAACTATTAATAATAATAGATTTTTTGAATTTGAAGCTGCAAAATGTGAAGTCAAAAAATATCTGCAAGGTGGCACTGTCTCCTGTTCACTGGTAAATTTGTTGACAGTGGCCAAGTTGTTGAAAATTGTACATCTGTGTTTTTATGGTGTTTGGGTTTTTTTTCCAGTTTCCTTAATATGATGTTGTTTTGCAGTATGTTTTAGCTTAGCTGTTCTATATATATTTTTAAATAGGAATGTGGCTGCTTTGCTTTACTTTATGAAACATCTTTCTTTTTTTTTTCCCTCCAAGAGGTATCTTTTTTCCCTGCCTTTACCCAGGGAATAAAAGATCACTGTTTAAAACTCCTTGTATTTGCTATACCTCTGGGAGAAGAAAATTCAGCTGCTAAAAGAATTTGCTGTGTATGCACACTAGCAGATTACATGTTTAAAGGAAAAAAATGAAATTGAGTGAATCTTTATTCTTTAGAAAACCCCAAACAGCAAATCCACAAAAAAGCCCATGCCAAAACCAAACCAAAACACACCCTGCCCCATCCCCTGGCAGAAACAAGCACACAGTCCCTCTCCCTCCTGGAAAACTGAAACAGAGTAAATGCACCAGTAGTAATAGCTGTTTGTAAAATGTTATTTCCTTTGAAAGAAGGAATTTCCTTTTTTTACATCCTCTGTGTAATAGGTAGTGATTGTGGGATGATCAATTGCTGCCACTCTTGTCTTGCAATCGCAGTGTCCACGTAGCACCAGCTAAGGTATCAGTTATAGTTGTGGTTCAACTGCCTTTTGCCATGGTAATGGAGAGATTTCAAAGGGAAGTCAGGTTTTGTCCAGTGTCCATACTATGCATTTTTCTTCATTCTTTGCTGTGTATCTTTTTGCAGCTTTCTACTTTTTAGGAAAAAAATAAAGTTATTGCTACTCAAACTTCAGCTCTATTAAAGAATAGTGCAAATCTCCACAATCCTGTGGCTTTCTGTGTCTTCCCAGGACTTGTCTGTGTGCTGGCCATGCTGTTTGGCAGTAAAAAGTTATGTGTTTTTTTTTCCAGGCAGCTTTGGAATGGAGCTGCTCTCTGAATCTGAACATCATCATAAACATTGATCCTTGTCTCACAGTATATGGGATTGTGAAATGGAGGAAGCATGAGCTCTGCTTTCTTTATCTCAAAGGGAAATACAGAACAGCCCTCACCCAAACTAGACTTTGTCATCATCTAACACCATCTAATGTGTGTTCAGTCAAATCTCCCTTCTTAAAAGAAGGCTGCATTGTGCCTTTTATGCACTGTGTAGGAATGCATATGTAGATTTGAAATTATGTAGGTATTCCTGTTTTGTAATGTGCTCCTAAGGCTTCTGAGAGGGGATAAAATGTAAATGAAGTGAACAGAGGGAAAAACAAATTGACCAGTTTTTTTAACTGACATATATTATGTAAATTCTGTGCTACAGGTCTTTTATCATGCGCCAGTGCTGACAGTCAGGACGCTCTGCTTTTCCAGGCTATTGAAAACATTTCTTGTTGCACCTAAAGCATAGCAAAATTAAAGTGTTCGATGTGGTATTTTGGTAATGCAGAAAAGAAGTAATATTTTTTACAAAAATAAGGCTGTGAATTTTTTCTTTCTACAGCCTTGTTTTCCGAATAGCCTAATTTATGCAACAACACCTTAAGAGATGTAAACCAAATATTTCTGATCATTGAAGAATAGTGTTAATAATGTTTCAAATCCTGATACTGTGATAGTTTCTGATTTCTCCTGTATTCACAGAGGCTGACTTTTGTCTAGTGCAGTTAACCTCCTTTGGCTACTCTTCAGTCCTTAGAGAAGGGAGGTGTCTTCAGCTCCACTGATAGTAAAAGCAACCTGGGGAGATTACTAGATTAAAACTACATTTTTGGGAACAGTTCTGCAGTTGAAGATATGATTAGGTCATGTTCTTGTTCTTCAGAGTACTTCAAATTAATTGGCTTCTCACTCTAATAAAATGATGGTATTGTATTTAAAAATACCTTCCAGCTGCAAAGCAAATGACAACCCCTGTGTACATCCGTGAACGTCTGAATGTGAAAAATATCCCTCTGTTTTTGAAATGTTTCATACTTCTTTCTGCCTTTCTGAAAGGGAGGAAAGAAAGAATGCTTGGCTGGTTTGTATTTTTTTGTTTCAGGTTCAGAAGTGAAAAGCTTAGGTTAATGGTTTCTAAAATTAAAAACCAAGGTAGTATTTTTGTAAGATTATTGTCTTGAAGGAAGCTGATAGTCAAGATGGTTTAATTGGGAGATATGTTTCATGATTTTGTTATTAAAAGTCATGATTATTAGAGGCTGGACAGGAGCCAGCAATATGTGCTTGCAGCCCAGATAGCCTAGTGTATCCTGGGCTGCATCAAAAGTAGCATGGCCAGCAGGTTGAGGGAGGTGATTCTGCCCCTCTCCTGTGCTCTCCTGAGACCCCATTTGGGGTGCAGCATCCAACTCTGGAACCTCCAGCGTGGGAGCGAGTCCAGAGGAGGCCACCAGGGTGGTTAGAGGGATGGAGCACCTCTGCTACAAGGAAGGCTGAGAGAATTGAGTTTGTGCAGCCTGGAAAAGAGAAGGTTTAGGGGTGGCCTTCCAGAACCTAAAGGGATGCTACAGGAAAGCTGGAGAGAGACTTTTTTCAGGGGCATTTAGTGACAGGACATGGGGGAATGGATTCAAACTAAAAGAGAGTAGGTGTAGATTAGCTATTAGGAAAAAGTCTTTACTGTGAGGCTGGTGAGGGACTCATGCTCCATCCCTGCAAGTGTTCAAGGCCAGGTTGGATGGAGCTCTGAGCAACCTGGTTTAGTGGCAGATGTCCCTGCCCATGGAAAGGGCTTGGAATTAGATGCTCTTCTAACTCCCTTCCAACCCAAATCATTCTACATTTAGGAAGTCAAAGATGACTTTGAAACTGAGTACCTTAAGTTATCTAGGAATAAGTTTTGTTCTCAAGTAGAAAACTCTTGAGTCAAGAAGCTTTATTGGAGTTGCATACCTCTGTCAGGTAGATGGAACATGTTTATAGAGCTTTAATGTGGGCACTTTTGCTTGTCTCATTCTAAAACCTTCTTCCATTAACACCTCCTAGGCTTTTGTGTTCTCAACAAAAGCTAAGTTCTGGTGGATTCCTTTTCTAACTGGCATCTTTTAAAGGGGACAGAGCCCCCAGATCTCTAAAGCATGATATAGTCTGTTCCCATGGTTATGGTACAAATTATTTTATGGTGTTTTTCCTTTTAAAAACTGAGGAGATTTTAAAGACTTTGTTTAAAAAAATCAGAATTATTAAGACAACAAAACTTGCAGGACTAAGCAATATATTGTTAGACTTCCAGAGCTGGGGGGAAAGCAAGGAAGCTTTTTGGCTCACAAATATTCCTTCAGAAGTTTACCCTTTTTCCTGAGTTGTCAGTTTGCTTAATAGAATATTTTTCTTTACAAACCTTGATGTGTTTATGTCCTTAGCTGAGCACAGTGGTGGTTGTATTAGATGCAGGCATGACAAATTAAGTTTGTTTCACTTCCTTTATCTTTGTACAAGTCCCTGTTTTTAGACTGGTTTATGTAATAATTTAAACACCTCAGTTTTGCAATTGTCTTTGGAAGGCAGGGGGAACAGCAGAAGGGGCTCTGAACTTGGAGGGGTCTTCTGAATTATTTTGGATTGCTTCCAAGAAAAAAGTGCATAGGGATTCCTTCTGTTTTAGAGTGAATGAGATCTGTAATGTATTGAGGTCTGCTTTTGTGTGTGTGTGTTAGTATGAGCACTGCCTGTTTTTGCTGTGATATATCTTAATGTCATTTTCCATATTGCAGGCTGAGTATGTCCAGCTTGTGACAGAGCTTAGAATGACAAGGGCCATTCAGCCTCAGATAAATGCCTTTTTACAAGGCTTCCATATGTTCATTCCACCATCTTTGATCCAGCTTTTTGATGAATATGAACTGGTAAGCAGAAATGCCCATTTTTTTAAAAAAAATACTTTGTTCAGCATACTTCATCAGTAGCGTAGTGATGTAGAAATAAAGCTCAGTAACCACTAAACATTTTGAAGCTTTCATTTAGTTTTGCTTCCTGGGCATCCACCACTGAGAGGATCAAGGATCTTATTGTATGTATTCCTGCTTTTGCTAATTGCTCAGAATTATTATCTTCCTGGGATGTGATAACTTCACATGGCAGTGATAAATGCTTTAAATTGCAATTTCAATATGGAATCAGCATGTTGTGGCCTTTGAGCCTTTTCATATTTTCCTTCAGGAGGACACAAGTCTTTTAATAGTAACGAGATGCTGTCTACTGTCTTTACTTTTTCTGAACCATAGTCACTTTCCAGTAAGGTTTTACGGGTGGTTTGCTCTCCTGTAACCAACACATGTCAAGTTTTGTCTCAAGTCATACCAAAACTCAACTTTTCTTTTAGGTTCTTTGGTCATAATATTTCTTTTTGGATACTGTTTTCTTAAATTAAACAGATCAGGTGAAATTTCCTGAATTCAAGAGTCTTCATGTATTAAAGTCTAGTCGTAGATTCCATAAGGTTGCAACTAGACAGAAAAAACACTGTAATTTTTCTACTTAAAGCATTATTTTTTCAAGTAGCATAAACACTTGAAATGAATGGTTAGTCAGGAGGACTAATTGCAATCTGTGTACTTCTTCTGAAGGAGCTTTTGTTGTCTGGTATGCCAGAAATTGATGTGAATGACTGGTTAAAAAACACAGAATACACCAGTGGCTATGAGAGAGGAGACCAAGTTATTCAGGTAAGATTGTGTTTTGTTTAAATAATGTAGACTATTTTGTTTTAATCCAAAAAGGAGCTTTTGCAGTTGTTGTTTTCTCTGTGTTTATGGAAGCTGAGTTTGCATGAAGTGGGTTTCATATGAAAATTTCTGTCATTTAAGAAACAAATTCACAAATATTCCACTTATTGTTTTGCCATTATATTTTCAAGTGCTTCAAATATTTAATGGAAAAGAGAAACTAACATATTTTTCATTTAGTGGTTCTGGGACGTGGTGGAAGAACTAACTCAGGAAGAGAGAGTGCTACTGTTGCAGTTTGTTACTGGCAGGTGAGACACTTCTGTAAGAACAGGTGTATGTTGCAGATCTTCTGAAATAAGTCAAGAGACTTGAGATTACCATAAAAGATCATCTAACTTGAAACTGTTTTGCATACTTCAGTGCTTTATATGTTGATCAAAGTAGACAAAGTGTGTGTTAATACTTTCTCTGCTTATGTTGCCTGCACAATGATTGATTATGTATTTATTGTACTGGACTACTTTACAACAGCTCTTTGTTGCTGTCCAGGCAATTTTTAACAAGACCATAGTGAATTTAACTGCACTTTATATTCTACTTTCTGTTGCATATTTTCATGGCTCTTGGCTTCTCCAGTAATCAATAGAGGCTGTAATATATGAGATAAGTAGGTATCACTTCAGCCAGTGTAAACAGAACGTCCTTCTCCTAAGGCTGAGTTGAATTTAACATTGGTGCAGTGTGTCAAGATAAGTGAGGATGGAACCTTATGCAAGACTGTTTGATTTATATAGGTTTTCTGTCTTATATAAATTAAGATAATCAGAACTTGCCTTTCATACTAAGGAATTTCATAGTCACAGGTGTATCATCAAATGGCACAGTCTTCAAATTCTGTTAGTTTCACTTGACTTATGATGAATTTCCTTGTTTTTAGGAATCACAGACAATTTGAGAAGCTAGTTCTGTGCACATCAATCTTTTTGTCCTCTGAAGAAATGATTCCTGCAGTTCCCACTGCACTCCTGTTGCGTGCCAACTGCTGGTCTCATTTTTAGTGCACTTGTCCATTTCTAAATCTAGAGAGCAAATAAGAACCTTTAAGACGTAAGGTCATGTGCCAAATGTCTCTTAAAACATTCTAGGTGATACTGAAGTGGCATTTGCTATTTTCATGGTGTTTGAAATAATCTACTGGATTCTAAGGGACAATATCAAGGAAACAATTACATTTTCTGATTATTATGTGCTTCAGCATGGTTCATTTTGGTCACAGATCACCTGCTGTCTTGTTCTTACCCATTTTCTTGTTAGTAGGGAAGAATTTTGATACCTTTCTTAAGAACTCTGGGCTGGAATTTGAAGCAATTTGCTTAGGGTTTTTTCTGTATTGGCTAATAGGAACCCTTCATGTTTTTTCTTCAGTAACTGACATGCAATAGGTGTATTTTTTCATAAAAATGGAACTTTTGGAAATCGCATCTAATAGTGATCTGCAGCTGGCATTTTTGCACATAAATCCCCAGACAGTCCTAGTTTCTGGGCATAGAATCATAGAATCAACCAGGTTGGAAAAGACCTCAAAGATCATCAAGTCCAACCCTACTGTGGTTACTAGACCATGGCAGAAGTGCAGTTTAGATGCTGACTTACCTGAGAGCTAACTAAACACAAGTCAGCCTAGTAGGGCTGGTATCTTAAGTAAAATTTTGCACTAAAAATATACATGATTTCAAACTAGGATCTTCTTCATAATCACATTTCTGTAGTGAAGAATTTGATTCTGTGTGTACTGGTTGGCAGGCTACATTCAAAATCTTCATTGTTTTTTTCCATTTCCCTTTAATCTCTTCTGCACTTTCACTTACTTGATTTTTGTGTGTGTGTGTGAAGTGGAACTGTTCTTTCTTTCCAATCAAAGACTATGAAATTAATCTAGTGAATGAAATAAAACAATTATATTTGTGATTATGTCTTCAGTGTTTCTCTGAAATCTCTAAATATGTCTTAAACTTTGCCTTTTGTCTTCTTACCCCATTATTACATCTCTTTCTCTTCAGTGTAATGAAGTCTTGCTTTGGTGGTTTCAGTGGAAATACCACTTCATTAATACCAATTTTAAGAGTAAAGGAGTTGTTGAGAGCAAACTTTGAATAGCAAACTGTGTTTGGAGGCCTTAGCACACTCAAGAAAAAGCCTAAATATTCTTGTACCACATGTAGGGGATCTGAAAATTGCCTTATGTACCACTTACTCTTTCTCAGCTGATGCTGCTTGAGGTAGTATTACCAATTCCACATGTTTTTACTTATTTTTCCCTCTCTTGATCTGTTTGGCATTTATCATAGAATCATAGAGTTTAGGGGTTGGAGTGGACCTTACAGATCATCTAGTCTCAACCCCCCCTGACATGGACAGGGACAGGCCAGGGTCAGGGCAGCCACCACATCCCTGGGCAACCTGTGCCAGTATCTCACCACCCTTAGAGTAAAACACCTTTTTCTCACATCTAACCTAGACTTCCCCTACTTCAGTTTGAACCCATTACCCCTTGTCCTGTCATTGCAGTTCCTAACACAGAGTCCCTCTCTGGCTCCTTGTAGGCCCCTTCAGGCATTGAAAAGTTGCTATGAGGTCACCATGCAACCTTCTCTTCTCCAGGCTGAACAGCCCCAACTTCCTCAGCCATAGAGGAGATGCTCCAGTCCTCTTATTAGTTTTGTGGCCTCCTCTGGACTTGCTCCAACAGTTCCATGTCTTCTTATGTTGAGGGCACCAGAACTACACGCAGTATTCCAGGTGGGGTCTCATGAGAGCAGAGCAGAGGGAAAGAATCACCTCTTTGGACCTGCTAGTCACACTCCTTTTGATGCAGCCCAGAATTTGATCAGCTTTATGGGCTGCTAGAGCACACTGCAGCTCATGGTGAGCTTCTCATCCACTGCCACTCTGAAGTCTTTCTCAGTGATAATATTTGGCTAAATAATTGTTAATTATCCACTGGCAACTTTTGATGATGTTTTTAGTGAACAGTTGAATGGAAGTGTTGACAGCTTGATAAATTCTGTATGATCAATTCTACTTCATGGGTATTCTACAGGTACCAAGATTGCTGTTCCACTTCTTTGGGGACTATAGTTTCCATTAAGCAATAAGCAATATGCTATTTTAAGAGAAATTCAGCATAGTTGGTGAAAGTGAAAGAGATGTGCGACTATTTTTTAAAACTATAACTAAACATAAGGAAACCAGCTTCAAGTATCTCTTTTATAGTGTTTTCATTTCAAGTAAATTAATACAAAACCTGTAAATGGAAGAATAGGTACAAAAGTTAGGATTCAGCTGTAAACTTAAACATTGTCACAGTGTTGAAATTTGCAAAGCTATGAAACTGTACTGTTCCTCTTGCTCAAAGCTATTTGCACATGCAATGGAAGAGGTAAGATATTGTGATTTTTTTTTTGCATATATTTGGAAGGATTTCTTTATTGGCAGTGTTTTGCTTGGAGAGAAAACGTCTTGGAGGCATAAGTTGGCAGCCATCGATACTTTTAGATGTTCAAAGCTCTGCTCATCCTATACAATTTTGACCAGTTGCACGGAAAATGTTTTTGCAAAAGCTTTTAGCTAACAGTGGACTGAATGATAATTTTTCAGCAGTTAGGTCTGTGTTTTGTTGCTGTTTTAAATGTGGATTTCTCTTGGTTCATGAGCGGGAAGAAAAAAGTCACTGCAGGGGAGGCAGCACTGTATTGGAAATGTGAGCCAAAACCACGGTAGAAGAGTGGTGCTGTGAGATCTTTACAAGTGTTCTGAGCTGTGGCTGTGAGCACAATTCCATTTGTGTCAGAAATAATATGCTGTAAAATCAGCACTTCCCTCTATAATGGTTGCCTTGTATGCCAGTGTTACAACTCTCTGGCCAATGTTGCTGCTGTTAAGCTAGGTGATACAGGTTTGTGTTGGATACCATAGCTAGCTCTTAATGGTATGTTTAGAAAGTATTACTGTGAATTGTCCTAGCTCCTTCACATTCACATAAGCAGCCCTTACTCTTTGGCATTTTTGTCAAGTAGTTTTATTGTGAGTGGAAATATTGCTACTTCTTTTCCACTCTTGCTCCTGGTTTTTGCAGTCAGTTTGTGAACATAGAAGCATTGTTTTTAATGTAGGTACCTGTAATCCCTAATTCTAACAGCTGGTACATGTTTTATGGGAGGTTTACTTTGTTTTATCAGATTCTTTCTTTGCTAGCTAAGACAGTCTGGAGATTGTCTAGTCCAACACCATGTTCAGAACAGGACCAGCTAGAGCTGGATGCTCAAGTTCTTGTCCAGACAGGTTTTGACTATCTCCAGGACTGCTGACCTCTCAACTTCTCTAGGCAACTTGTTCCAGTCTTTGACCACCTCACAGTAAAAAAATTTTTCTTGTCTTTAAATGGAAAGTTCCTGGACTTCCATTTGTGCCCATTGCCTCCCGTCCTGTAACGGGACCACTGAGTGCTTTATTTATTCCTTCCTTCAGGTATTTTACACACTGATCAGATTCCCCTGAGCCTTCTCTTCTTCAGGCTGAACAGTCCTAGCTCACTGTCCTCCTGTGGCAGGTGCTTCAATCCCTTATCATTTTCATGGCCCTTTGCTCAAACTGCTGCATTATGTCCCTGTCTTTCCTGAAGTGGGGAGCTTGGAGCTGGGCTCCAGGTATTTCTCACCGAGCATAAGGAAAGGATCACCCTGCTCACCCTGCTGGTGACATTGTTCCTGATGCATTCAACTTGTTTAGTCCTTATCCTTTCATTATACTGGGTTTTTATGGGGTTGGGTATTTTTTGGGTGTGAGTGCTGTGCTAACAATGTTCTCTTGTAGTGCTTGTCAACTTCAGTTGTTGTTATGAAAATATCTTAATTTTATTCTGTTTGTCTCTTAGTTTAAAATTGTAGTGACTCTGAAAACTCCAGGGCTATTGCCCATTTACACCTTGAGTAATCTTTGAATAATATATCGATAAAAAGAAAGAAGTTATGGATGATGTGATTAAGTGAGAATGAATTCCTGGAAGTGTTAGTGTGTTGTGGTTTTTTTTGTTTGGTTTTTTTTTTTGTTTGTTTGTTTGTTTGTTTTTTGTTTTTTTGCTGTGTTTTGGTTTTGCCATAGTTTGTTCCTGGGTGATAGTGTGACTGATGTGATTTTATTAGTTACTTGAAATACTTGGTCTGAAGTAGTAAATGAATAGACATGTCAAGGAAACTTGAGTCACTTGTCCCACAGGTAGTAATCAGAGTATAAACTTTATTATGATGTAGTATTTCTTGAACTGTAAATATAAATAACCATATTTGTCTTAACTAAGATAACATTGTTGCAAAAACTGGTTGGAGAAGTGAGTCTTCCTTGCAAACAGAATTATGTTAAAATACCATTCAGACAGTTAGGGTTTAGTGGTTACAGCAGAGTGGCAACTAATGGTTGGACTGGATGATCTTAGAGGTCTCCTCCAAATGGGTAAGAAAGGAGGAACCTTGATAGGAGTATTAGTAACTGTCTAATGACTGTAAGTAAGAGAGATGTGCAGTGTCAAGATTTCATTTCCTGGTTTATGACATTATTGTAATGGTCTAACTTCTGTGAATTTTCTCAGTTCCAGGGTGCCTCATGGTGGCTTCGCCCATATAATGGGTGGCAGTGGGTTGCAAAATTTTACCATTGCTGCTGTGCCGTATACTGCAAATCTTTTGCCAACATCAAGCACATGGTATGTTCTCTAGTCTTGTTGAAATATCTTAAAAGCAGGGCTCTTTCATGTCAGTCACACTCAGAAGTACAGTTCTTTTGAATATTGAAAGGATCCAAAAAAATTTAGACAGTTTCTGTAGTCTTCACTATCCAACATGAAAGTGATGGGTTTTAACCCAGATGATGTTTGCTAATTGTTTACTACTTGATTTTGCCTAATTAAAGGCAGAGGAATTAATTAGGGAATATTCAAGTTAAATTATTGTATTACAACTTACTGAAGTTAAAAAACCCCACTTAATCTCCTGCAATACATTTGAATGCTCAGTGGTACTGCAAGGCAGCACAGGTTTGTTTACTTCCATAAATGTGATCTCTTCAGGGGTTTCGATCTGAAATCTTTACTGTTGAGTTTCTTGCTGAACTGTGATGTGGCTTTTTTTTTTTTCTTTTCAGTATCAACATGCTCAAGTTACCTGAATACCCAAGTAAAGAAATCCTGAAGGACAGACTTCTTGTGGCATTGCACTGTGGAAGCTATGGTTACACAATGGCATAATGAACTCTAGGAAACTTATCTGACTGCTGATGTGCAATTCTGAGTGGCAGAAGTAATTTTGAAAGCTGTCAGTAGAAAAGCAGCTTAGATGCTGCAGCCCATTGGCAGGGTTGGGCTTCAGAATTCTCCCAGGGTCATCAGCTTTCCCTCCATTATTGTGTTGTCAAGGTAGCTTTGATACCATCACAACCAACTTCTCAGTATGCTGTATTTTCATTTCTCAGAATTACAGATCTGTATGGAAATCAGTTTACATGCTTTTTGTTGTTTCTTCAGTCTGAGGAGGTTTGTCAGAATCTCTTTCCACAGTTTACTTTTTGATTTCCAACTAGGTGGTTGAATGACATTGTAGTTTACTTTGCACTCAGCTGGCATACTGCTAATGGACAGAGTTGTACTTTATGCCTTGTTGCATGTGAAAGTGCCATTTATTTTTGCAGAGACCACTATAGAAAGTTCAATTGGGATATTGTACAGTAAGACAGAGCTGATGTATTTTCCATTTCTTTGCATAGTAACAGAAAGAAAATTTTATAACTTTTTAGTATTTTAATGTATATAGTATGTAAAGATTAGACTGTTATGACTGGAAAAAATAACAGATCAAGTTTATCTAATTTATATTGGAGTTTACACTATATTCTACTACATACTTTAAGTATTTGTGACTTTATAGTCAACTTGCAGTTTAGAATTTGTAAATATTATTTAAGATTACATCCATTGTTTGAATGCCTTTACTCTTTCCTTGACATAATTGTATGTTCAAAAGGTATTATTAAATTTTAATATTTTAACCAGAATCTGTCAAGTTTGTTTTCTACTGTCCCTTTGGGTGGGATGTTCTTTTTTTTCCCCCCAGAAACTGATAATCTTTATCTAATTCAAATTGTTATGGAAGCAGCATTTGAGAAGTCATTGTCAAAGTGTATGGATCAAGGTATTGCCAATCAAATCCTGGGCTGCATCAAAAGGAGTGTGGGCAGCAGGTCAAAAGAGGTGATTCTTCCCCTCTGCTCTGGTGAGACCCCACCTGGAGTACTGCATCCAGCCCTGGGGTCCACAACACAGGAAAGACATTGACCCGTTAGAGTGAGTCCAGAGGCAGACACCAAGATGATTAGAGGGGTGGAGCACCTCGGACTAGATGATCTGTAAGGTCTATTCCAACCCTTAAATTCTATGATTCTTATTCTATGAACTTAAGCTTATCAGGTTAACTGACAAGACTGTAATAATTAGTTTTCTGTCAAAATTTATATAGAATTAGGATATTATACTCCAATACTATACAACATTACACAGCAAGGACTCATCAGCCTGCATTTTGGATTAGTGGCTGCACATGTTGGGGTTGATGATGCATTTGCGTAAATGCTTTTTTAGGGACCCTGAGGTAGGTCTCCATTGTTGTTTTGCTTCAGGCTAGGAATGGATTTTCTTTTTTGGTTGCAGGTCTGTTTTTTCAGTCAAGAATGTGGTTTTTATTTTGTAAATTGATCTGGTCATCCCTGCTTGCCATGCTTTTGCTTCAGAGAGTGCAAACTGAATTCTGTTCTGATGAAACTGAACAGAAAAACATGATCCAAAAATGTACCAGATTCTAATGGGTAAATGTCTAATTTATGTCTGCAAAGCCTAAATGATCTGAAGATGTGGTCTGAAGTGTTTGTAAATGAGTTCAGACATAGCAAAACCCCCAAACACATAAATTTTAAGGTTCAGATCCTGAGCAGAAACTGTTTGCTACTGATCCGTTCATTTTGCTAAGCTCTAATACATGTGTAGCCTGAGTTCCCCAGCTGATCTGTAGGCTGCTTGCTTACTACCGTTTTTTCCAGATTTTATTTATTTTAGTCTAAAGCATACATAACCTCTCTGGGAGCATGAGAGAGAAAACCACGGACCATCTGATTCAGTGTTGTCACAGTAATTTTCCTTTGGGCTAAGCTTTATACATGGACTTACTAGCTTTATTTCCTCTCTGGTTCTGTTTGTGCACATGTTGTATAAATGTTGTTTTAAGTTCTTAAGCAGAGTTTGTGACAGCAACTCAAGGAGGATACCAGTATTAGTGGAAAGAGCAGACTCTTCCAGCAGGGCAGTCCAGTGGCAGCTGGTTAGCTGTTGCTTCAGGCAGTGGAGAGAAGCTGTTCCCCTCTGGCATGCTATAGGAAGCTTAGGCTATTTAACTGGGTTAGGTGTTTGAGGCTATGTGGGGTTTTAGCATTAAATCCAGTTGTCTGGGACCCTTCAGTCAATAGAAGTGCTTTGCTTTTTTGCATAGCTGGGCTGTGCTTGTTTGCTGATGTGCCTTGGCAAGGTAGATTGATAGCAGGACAATGTTTAGAGCAGTACAAGGCATTTGTCAGGAATAATGCATTTGTTTTCTTTAGGCAAACTGGGGGTTTTGTTTTTATCCAAGGGTGGTACTGTAAATGCTGTTGTTCATTAACTGCTGTGCAATCTGTGACTTTTATTATTTTCCATTTCACCTGTCCAATTTATGGCAGTGAAGCTGAAACTGCATACTCCTGTGCATTGTTCAAAATATGTCATACACTAAGGCCGAATGAAGGGGAAAAAATCAGGGTGTGCTTTTTCACTTCTGTATTATACTGTAAGTGACAGAAGTATCAACAAGCTGAATTTCATGACAAAGTTTGCCTAAAATGCTCAGCAACTGGTTTTGAAATGTAACAGAGCACAGAGGTTTAATGTTCTCAACAGCTTCCTATGACAGATCTCCCTGTTACAGCCTCACAAATGGTAAAGCAGATTTCTCCTCCTTCCTCCATGGCAATGTTAGTTGTGTCCCCTATGAAGTATCTTGTAGTATTTCTTGTAATTTTTTACTACTTACCCCCATAATGGGTCAGAATGAAATTCTTTTCAAGTCCTCCTGTAATAAGGATGATGACAATATGTAGGTAAAGGGAATAGAGCTCTTGATACTGGACTCCTAATGTAACAGCTA